TACAAACTTGGACGTCAATTTTCATAAATGGTTTTAAACATGGAATAGATAGACTCCCAGATTTCTTTAATAATACCAAGAAATCGTTAGTGCTTATACGGGCAGATTAGATTTACTGTGCGCTATTATCAAAATGTTATTGGCGGCATTTCTATTTTTATGCCCAAAATGTAAGGCGCAAGAAATTCGCAATTTTGAACGTTATGAGCATACCTAAAGCACGACCGTTGGTGCGTTGAAAGTCGTGCTTCACCGCTGCATTCCAAAATCGCTGACATTCACGAAACTTTCCAACGTCGAGCACTGACAACGCACCATCCTGGTTTTTCACAAACCCCACCAAAACACAACCACCACGGAGCGAGTGTGAAGTGCGGCGCCCGCAGTTTCCACGCCAGATAAATCACAACATAAAATTTTAAAATAACGACAAACCGCCGTGACGCGGACAATGGTACCTGTGTTCGGACTAGTGGTACGGCAACTCTGTCGAACAACCTGTGTGTGCTGGGCAAGGGGGTGGGGGGTAACGCCGTAGTCCCATACCTGCGTGAAACGTGGCATCGCTGCGGTTTCATTCCAACTCCAGTCACGATGTAGATTTTCTGCCGGCCGGCTTGGGTTAACTCGATTTTCTTTTCCGAACCGTACGGACGCAGTGGCTACGCTTGACCCTCAGAGGTTCCATTTTGAATAAAAAGCTCGACCGTCGAAGACGATCTAAAAACAGCCGTAGGGTGGGTGGCCGGCGCGTGCAATATCCGATACTATTACCGCAAAGATTATCTGACTCCACAGGAATCGGGAGGCGCTCCATTATCATACATAAACGTTTAGAATCTGATGGTCAATAGGAACGCTCGGCGGATCAATGAAGTCAAAATGTTTTTTTCTTGTATCATGCATTAGTTACCTTTTGTATTCCTCACTATCTTTACGTAAAAATTATTTCCGTGGAACAGTTGTATGCCAACTACATTTTTTGTTTGTTTTAGCTAGGTATGCGAAGACTACCTTACAATACGTATTTGGATAAGTGTTCGATATACCATAGTTAAACTGTAAATGTTTCAGGTATTTGATAAACTAGTTATTATTGTGTATAAACTGTTTGTTCACAGAGGGTACTGATACTCTTCGCTCTCTTTCCTTTCAAAAGTATTTTCTCTATAGACCTTTCCCTTAATAAGTTGCAAAATCGTTTTTTTTTAGTTAGTTCTAAAATAACAGCAACCAAATGACATCTGAACATTTAAAATTGAAGCTTCTCAAGAAATACCTACGTCTAGTTTTGATAGAGATTACCTCCACATACATATATAAACTAGAATTTCATAAGTAAGATGCAAGTAACCTCTGGCAATTGTTTCATACATTCCCATTCAGATTTCCTTTTTGAAGATAACGAAGCATACCGCACTTGTAGATGTCAAAGGTCTAATATTTATTTAGGTAATAACAACAGTTTTTCTCGCCACGAATAAAACATTTTCAAATCTTCATTACAAATCATCCTGTTTAAAGGATAATCATTCTAGACCATAGTGAAATAAACTTCCGAAGTAGGTTTCTTATTGACTGATTTCAAACATAACAAAATTTGATTTCTAATCCAAATTTGGCACTGCATTATATTTACGAGGGCTGCCTTTTATATTTAGGGATTTTCTTAAACTAATCCAGCTATCTGGCGACTAACGTTTTTATAGGGAAGTTTGTCATTTTGAGGTTACGTTTACTCAGTTTGGTTTTGGCGAAAAAGTGTTATTTGTTTTTTTTGTGATAAATTAAAAACATTGTGACTATTAAAAATTGAACTTAATCGGGAGCATTTACGTGCACTAATTTTTTACAACTTTAGACGTGGACTAACTCAACAACATCGATAAACTTAATTAAACTTTTGGACTTAAAGCACCATCTAGGACTACTGTTTATCGCTGCTTTTCGGACTTCAGTCGTAGTTTTCTTAAGGATGAATTTCGTGAATCCGAAATCTGATTTTGCAAGATCGTCATGGGCGCTAAAAAAATTGTTCGCGTTGGATTTCACACAATTTGACATCAGCTCAAAAAAAGACTCGTGTTGATTGGTCGAAGGAAATGCTAAAAAAATGCTGAAAGTAACCAGTAGTCGACTGTGTTGGCCTTTCAGAATGAGACAAAACCCACAAAAGTTGTTCGTGCGAGGAGCACCTCGAAATAAATGGTAGGCTGTTTTTTCAGGAAAACTGGTCACCTTGCAACTGTTTCTTTGGTGAAAGGTAAAACAGTCAATTTTGAATGATACACAACCATTAGTTTGCTGAAAAACTGCGAAGAAATTAAAAAAACCAACCGCCGAAAACTCTTCACGGTGACCATGCTAGCTCTGACCGATCAGTACAAACAAGGAACATTTTGAGCATTAAAAACGTTGATTTGATGAGCCGTCCACCATGATTTAGCACCGAATGACTTCTTTTTATTCCCATACATTAAGAGTAAATTACGTGGGCAACGATTTTTGACGCCAGTAGAAGCGATTGATGCATTTGAAAAGCATTGTTGTTTTGGAGGTGCCCGACTCGATGTGGGAAAAGTGCTTCGATGCTTGGTTTTATCGAAGTGTATTGATCATCAGGGTGAAATTTTACCCAACCAGTACCACTGCCTGTTGATTACTTTACTTTAATAAATAAATAAATAAGTAGAAGGAACTGCTATTTTAGGAGGACAGTGTCCAAAATAATTTCGTTAAAATTTCAAGTTGTGAGATCTTTCAAATTGTCCTTCACTGTTCAGAATGTAATAATATTTTGTTAATGCAATTTGCTATTACAATCTGTTTGTCGCTCGAAATTGTTCCTTTGGAATTCTGATCATTAAAATATGATTAAGCTTTTCAGCGTAGACATACATTTCATAAAAACTTGTTCGCCATTTCTCCATTGTTTCGGCTGTCACATGTTTCACAGAGAAAATACGGCTCCTTTGAAAACTCAACTATTTAAAGGTGTGTTTTCACAATAGGTAACGACAAACCTGAGTTAAATCCGCGTTATATTTATATTTAAATTTACATATAGGCTACACGATTAATAATAAGATCATGCATACCATTTCAATGTGTTTGAATATAATGCTTAATCTTCAGTAATAGGAGCGGAGTATACTGTGACAAACGCAAAGCAAAACCGTAATTAAAACGTAGGCGTATAGAAAGGCAAGACGCCGAGCCAGATAATGGAGATGCAGACGACACAATAACGTTCCTTGAATATTTCAATTAGTTTTGCAGAAAAATATTCGTGTAGAAAATGCCATTGCAACAAAAACACAAAACAAAAAGAGCGCGGCTATTTATTTTGGCAATTCTCAGATCAATTTAAGGAATTGCCAGAGGTTTATGTTGATATGTATTATCGTTTAAACCGAACTTTTCCGTGAAGAGAAAGTGAGAAGTGGCACACCTGGCTCCTTAATATTTAAAAATAATAAAATTGTAATGACAGGAATCATTGAACATGGTGGCCAACTTGAACGTTATATCGCAAATTTCAGATAAATTGCAATGATAGTTTTCCGTATTTCCGTAATCGTTCCTTACTAATTTGCATACAATAGAAAGATGAGTTGGGCTAATGAAAGTAATGTGACAGCGGCGTTACTAGAGGGAGTTTATTAGAATAATAAATATAATAATCATTATACACGATTATAATTATAGAGATGGGCAGATAATTAAGATGTTAATTATTCTAACATTAATTAAATCAACACTTATATAGAAGTAAGAATAATATGAAAATAGATTAAATGTAATAAATATTATTTTTAACCCTAACTAACTTTAACTCTAATTGATATCCCAAATATGTACAGTATCTCATGTCCCATTGTGTTGTTGTGCTGTCTCTGTCTCTCTGACGCGGCTCTAAGCAAAATTCTTTGAAAAGAAAAGCAAAACTGTTTTTTTGTTAAATTGAAAAATTCTGGTTATTTGTAAACAGATGGGGGTCAAAAATTTTATTGTGTACAACAGTTCATGCAGGCAATCATTCAGCAAGAGATAATTATAGCAAAACATATACTAGGTGGGATGGCATGTAGATCGGAGACTTCTCGCACATCTCACCCCCATAATCTGCCACTGCATAGTGCCGAAGTAAATTGAATCAGAGCTGCGAGCCATCTTAGATAACTTAACCAACATTAGTTCGTCATTGCTAAATGAGTTTATCTGCGAAATGCAGAGCTTGACATTATCGTCGGGTGTCGAATATAGCGGGTGCCCTTTGTCCGAATAAATTGCTCTACTTAAGTCGAACGAAACTCAACCGGGGATCGGACAATATAATGGATGTTTGAGAGATTAAAACGCATTCTATAAATGTTGGAGGTTATCTTTCAAGGATGTTTCCAGTAAAAGTAACGCATTCTGTGCTCAGCTCAGCTGTGGGGTGTTCGGTTCCCGGCAGGGACAAAAGAATAGAGGTTGTTTTTTGAAGCATAATTTTATCTGCTTGGGCATTCGTTCAAACAAGCATGCCAGCAAGTCGTTAAGAGAAAGCTTGATATAAAACGCCTCGAGATTTCAAAGTCAATTATACTCTTTACATTTTGTAATTGTTTTGTAACCAAAGTGTATGTATTATTACTTAGATATCATAAGTTATCTTTGTTATAGATAATAATTGGCTATAATTGTCATTCGAATGGGTAAATTCACCATGTGAAGCAAAAATATAATGTCGCAAATGATAAAATAATATAGTTATCGTTATTAAAATACAGGGTTATTGTCAATATACTTGTAATCTTGTATACTTGGAAAATCCGTGTTTTCTTAACACGGATTTTCCAGTAAAATTTCAGTTTTACAACTACAGAAAATTACAAGAGGTGGTATATGGTAAAATACATCCCATTAAAAAAGAGAAGGGTGAGGTTTTCGCTGATTTTAATAATCGAAGACCCTGTTACAATCTTATTGTTAACAATCATATCTGACGTAAAACGTCATCCTTAAAATATGAACTTCTTCGCCGTTCTAATCACCTACAGTTTGATAAGGCACAATATATGTCTAGTCGCCGAACCGATGGATGGCGCTACGAAAACTAAATCTTACATCGGACAGGCTTCGAATATAGCACAAAAGGCTGCACAAGAGGCGAAAGCTGCGCAGGACGCGATGCAGCAAGCTGGCCAACAAGCTGCGAGACAGGTCAAGCAACAGCTTGCTGAAAAAGCTGTACAAGCAGCTAAGGCGGCCGAAGCTGCCTTGGCAGGTAAAATCGGTTTCGGAAATTTTGAATGATTTATGTGCAGCATCCTTTTTCCTGAAATTATCTTCGCAATTGTATTATTTGCTAGCAATATGTAATATTTCGAAGAAGGCGATTTTGAAACTAACTTTCAAATAATTTTGCTGAATGTAACAAAATCAGTTCGATCCGCATATAGACCATCGCTGAAACAAATACAGAGATAAATGCGCAAGTATATATTTTTTGTAATGTTTGCAGAAGTTGTTTGCCGCCACAGCGGCTTTGTTTAATATTCTCATGACGACAGGTGTGCCTTAAAGATGTTAATTTGCCATACATTTTTAACAGCATCTCTAAATAATGTCCGAATTTTGACCCTCGCTGCTCAGAAAAAACAGTATCGTATACTCAATAGTAGTCTTATAAGTTTCACTTTAAATCAAGTGTAGTCTTAATGGTTCCCATTTAATGTTTGTTACGATTTTAAAACTACCATTGTTTTATATTTAGAAATTAAATACAACAGAGGGTTTTAATCAATTACTATGCTAAACTAGACAATAATAGAGTTTTTTAAATTAGAGACATATTTCAGAGAATTTATATTTGTTTCAATTTTTTTATTTTTACACATCATATTTAAAACAATGAAGTAAATTTTTGCCTGAAAGAAAATTATTATAATAATATTTTCTGTTAAACTTGGGAATACTGAGTATAACAATAACTACTTTTACTTTTTTACTTTATAAATTATAAAATTAGTAAGTTAAAAATAAGGAGGTAATAAATATTATTATTATTATTAATATTAAATAAATAAATATTATTACGACGTTCAAATAGGCACGGCACCTATACACCTACGTCCAAGAGTTTTATTTTGAGACATTAAAAGATATCAATTTTATTTAGAAAAAAATAATTAAATAAAAAAAATAATTTTGATACACTTTTGAGAATGGTGTCTATAACTTAGTTTAAAAAAACTGTTCATAAGTATAGGTAAGTACCTAGGTACTGCCTATTTGAATTAAATACTTAAGTACTTATGTTTTGCTATATGTTTGTCTACAGAAGGTTCAAGAATTTTCTGCCAAACGTTCACTCAGATTCTACGTGTAGTTTCGTTTGTAAATGTATGTCCAAAATGCTTCTTTTCTGAGATACGGGGCATTGGATATTTAAGTAAAAAGACCGTTTTACATAACTTTGGATATTTTCGAAGAAGAAGGGCATCTTAAATTAAAATATGTTTTAGTTGATTTTGCAGTGAAAAGGTGCATCATACAAGAAGTCAGAAGTTTAATTTTGCTCCGAACTGAATGTGAACTTCAAAAATATTTTTTAAAAAAGTAATGGTTCAAAAATATCTAATAAAAATCCCATGCATCAAAAAATGCAAATGGCAAAAGTATCTAAAGTCATACACTACAAAGAAATATTTAGTGTTTCTACATAAAATACCTGTAATTTAATCAAAATCTTTTTTTCAGCTGTTTTTTAAATTCATTTATGTGTTTTAAATTTGAGATGCAGTATACGCCAAATAAGGTAAATTAAAACATTATTAATTAACCTATAGTTTTTTTAAATACTGAAATATGCTGTGCACCTAAGCCTGAATCACCACCATAGATACACTTTATTAATATTTTTTATATTACGATAAGCTAAAATTGAATAAAATAAAAATGTAGACGATTGATATCACTATAGTTAAACAGATTTTATGAAACGCTCGAACAAAAAATGTGAACGTATCCTAGCGATCTAAATTATTATTGCGGTAAAACAAAAAAAAATGTATCAACAATTTTAAAAAATATAATCAAATATATGATTTAAGTATTCAATAATTTGCTTAATTATTTTATTAAAAATTAATTACATTAATTTTGCAAAGAAACTTTCACAGGCTGCTGTAATACCTCGTCGAACTTGCTGACGTTTCGCCAATCATCCTGTTGGCTTCTTCAGAGCTTGACTGAAACTGGCTCGTATTTTACTCTGTACCTGCTTATATATTGCTTGAGGGGGACGGAGTTAAATGAGAGGCATAAACACCGTCTCGGATGACTGATTCCCATATTGGTGACAGATAGAGACCTGAGTCGCGGTTAAGATTGTTAGGTTGTTTATAGATTTCTATGAACTCTCGGATTTTTCGTGGGTAGAAGAACATGCAAGAATTTTAGTTTTATCGAATAAAATTTTATGTCCGGTTTCATGAGTCTGTTCGCCAACAGCTGATGATTAAGACAAAAAAAACTCATATATTTAACAATAGTTCCTATTTTTACAAGAACATATCCTATTTTAATATAACACAAGAATCTTTTAAATCAATATCAGACTATTGTTGGCAAAATATTTAAATGCTGTAATGATTTTTTATTGTTGGTATAATGTTAATAAAACTGGTTCTCTTTTATTGTTATTGTTTTATTGTTCAATGAAACGTAACTCTGTTCGAGGAATACGGAGTAGAACATATCATTGATTTAAAGGTATTTTGTTTAATATTAAGGTAGTATTTTTTCTGTGTGCTGGTTTCGCATTACCCAGTCAACAATTTCAAATTATCACCAAAACATTGTATATAGCATATTTTAATAAAGGACTTCCGCCAGTACCAATATTCTCTTTAGCATAATATATCACATTATGTCACATATTCTATAGAATTATTCTCATTGCAGTTGCAGTTTTTTTTTTTAATAGAACCCCATACTTTTTACAGGCAAAGAGGCTTTGGTTCAAAAACTTCAGGACGAACTAAAAGAGGCGGAAGTTGTTGTGAATGAAGAATCGACTAACTTACAGCAGCTGCAGCTGACCGTGCAGTCTGCTACCAAAGCCGCCCAACAAGCTCAGACCCAATTAAAATTGCTCCAAACGACTTTGCAACTAGCTCAAGGTGTTAATCGATTTAATACATTATATGCATTGTTATATTGGTTAATTGAAACGAAAGGCTGATATACTCCTATTTTCTCATCAGGTAACGCAGCGAATTCGCAACAAACGCTGGAGGGATTACAGCAGCAATTAATCGACAAAGAGGAATTAGTAGAGGCAGCCAAAGCTAGGGTGGAACAATTAAATAAAGATTTTCGCTCTGCCAAAACCGAACTAGGAAAAACGAAGGAGTCGGCAAAAAAGGCCGAAGCATCAGCAGCCGAGGCTAAACAGAGCGCGACCAGAAATAAAAGGAGCGATCGAAACGACTACGATGCTATTTAAAATTGCTGTTATTCTATTGAACTTTTCCATTAGAAACATTAGTATAGCCAACTCGCCAATTTTTAACCGAAGTTAATTTTATATTGATTAGTTAAAGGATTTCTCGCTGATTAAAAACCATACCAAAAATAGCTATCGGTTAACTCCGCCAATGTTATTGATTGCTTTATAAGTTAAAGATTACAGGCAAAATAGTCAAAATAACATCCTATATAAGCATGCGCGAATTACTCGTTTTTTCTCCGATAAGACCTTGCGACGTTCAACAATTAACGACAAAACTTAAAAGTCATTTAAATGACATTTTATCCAAAGAATACCCGACAAGCAATTAACACAATCCACTAAACAAACAATTTTCTGTTGCGCAGATCTTTTTGCGCATCACCATTTTGGAAAAATTTTTTAAAGTAGCTCCAGTTCTATAAAACTCTGCTTTTAAATTTATTAATTATTTATATTGTTACAATTACTGTGACTCATTGTATTTCGGACTTTTGAGATAATTGTGGTAAATGTCGAACAATGGGCGGTGCCTAGCACGCAATATCGTGTATGTCGGAAAAACATTTTATTGATTAAAAAATGGGAAAGCAACTAGTTCATTGTAAGATTTTATTTAGTGAACGTAATGTTATTGGTTCTGTGGCAATGGCGCCACCTAGTGTACAGTCTTTATGTTAAATCCTACCCGGAATTTAATTAAAAAAGTTAACGCAAAGCAACGTCAATGCAAGCTGAGTGGTTTGGAGTTAACAGATATTGATGTTTAAATGCCATTCACTGGCAAACTATCCGCCTTTTATGGGCATTGAATTTACTGTTTAAGCTTGCACTTACAATATTTTTGACTAGCATACAAAGACTTGTTCAACTTGGTTTTGTTTTTCCAACTTTAAACAAAATTAAAATGGCCAATTTAACTCAACTGTTGATCACATCTTTTATACACACATATATTACTATTACCTTTAGGTAAAGATTCACTAACCAGGAATATGATGCCTTTAATTCCTTTGCTTCCTCCTTTCTTTTTCATTAATTTATATTATTAAACAGAATTTATACCATCAAAAAAATATATTTTGTCATTGTGTCTACTCTAATTCAGTCATTCATTCCATCAAAAAATCAATAATAATTGAACTAAATGAATTTAAAATTAATTCACTGTTAAATTATATACATTCCAAAAAAATTAAATCAAATAAATTGCTTAACAATTTTAATGGATGACTATAAAAGTACTTTATAAACAGACTTTGCATAATATTACAACACTTTTGCTTTGAGCATTATAAAATATGTTATTTTTGGCAGTAGTACCTTAATATTTATTTATATAAAGTATATTTTTGTGTCTTAATCAGTAATCAGAGGTAACTTTGTTGAAATGCATTCCAGAAGGGCTTCATAGAAGTTGGGGAAACCATCATATCCTAAAAAGAAGTTATATTAAAAATAAATACATTACTTTAAAAAACTCATACCAGGATAAGCGTTAACATCTATAATGGCATATCTACCACTTGAAGTCTCAATAACAAAATCGATACCTAACAGATCCATCCCAAAACACCTACGGAGAGTATTTGCTATCACTTGCATGGTCTTGTGATCAGGTTTTGTGCATTCCTTGTGAATATCTTCTGGATCCAATACACTCAACCTACTTTTAGAATCTGCTTTGGAAACATCACTGCTGTCAAAATGAATTGTTTCCCTTTGGGTAGCATAAAAATTCTTTAAGGAAGGCCTTTCCACAAAACAAAATTTTTCGCCTACTATGAATATCTTATAGAGCACAGCATTATGATTTACAAAACTTTGTGCCACACACGGCGTACGACAATCAGCAAGATACTTCTCGTCAAAAATGATCGACATTTCGTGGGCTTGCCTAGATCCGTGGCCTAATAAAGGTTTACAAATAAATGGGAATGTAACTAGAGCACTGTTTAATTGTTTTTTAATAACGTCTAAACTGCTAGTCCTCAGAACACAAAAATTAGGCGTAAAAATACCATAACTACGCAAATCAGTCCCTTCAATCATGGTATAACAGTTGTAACGGTCGAGAAGTCTTCTTACATTCGATATTGGGTCCATTATAATCACTGAAGGATTTTCTCTAAAATACTGTTCGACTTCATTGATAATATCTGCACTCTAAACACATAAAATAATTTAGATTCAGAAAACAGGAGGCTCATGTCAAACTACCTTGATATCCCCTTGATTTGCTGAAGCAATAATATCTGTAAGTTTGTGAAGTACGACACAAAAAGGTTCCTGATCCCTAATATTCTTGTTCAAATTCAACTAAAAAAAAGTATGGCTGAAATACAACAATCCAATAGAATCTACAAAACTTACTTTAAAAACATCGAATCCGTGTTTGTTAGAGACGGAAACCAGTTCCTGCCAGTTAATTTTCTGAATTTTTTTTTCCGACATCCATACAGCGATTCTTTTCTTGGATGGCATATTATTAAAATTTGGACTAATAATTAAAGCGTCCACTTAAACATAACGATAAAAAACAAGTTTGCAATTGTTTAAAATACAAAATAAACTATGCTTGTATTTGTTCTGTCACCTGTCTAATGCATGGAAAAGTCAAGCCCGGAGTTGTCTCAAAAACAAACATGCTTTAAGGACCGCTGGATTTTCCTGAAGTAATACACACAATTCTTTCAGTTCTTCTTCAGTCAGTCTTATGAGATAATTTTGTTCATAAACATAATATAAATTGACAAAACCTAAAGAAGCAAAACAGGACTCAATGTCTATGGTGCTGGCCGCGTGATCCTAACAATTAAGCCGAAATAAGTTGGTCAGAGAGTTTGTGTAGGTGTTTTGTTTTGGTTAACCCCTTGTGGTTTAAAATTGTTAAAAATTGTGTTATTGACGATTATATTTACGAAATGTCGGATTATGATCGAAAAAAGTATAGCATTTCAAACAAAAACAAATTATACTCTGCCGCGGGAGTAAGTAAAGACACCGTTAAAACAGAGAGTATCATTCGTTTTTTTAGGATGCCTTAAGCCTTAAACGGAATCCTGTAATGAAAGCAAACAGTTCTAATAAAGATATTGTAAAGGAAATGAATGTATCAGAGAGAAAAGTTAAACAGCCCACGATTTTGCTAAAAACCAGAGAACCAAATCTTGAAGACTTTTCATCTCCTAAAAGAAAAGCAAAAGAATTGGAAAATACTAGTATCAATATGCCCACAGCCTCCAAAGAAAATGATGGTAAGTTATGAACTTCTATTTATGGCTTCAATTGATCACTCAATTTATGGTGGTTTGAAAACAATTTTTTCAATTGTAGTTAACACAGCTGTGGTTAAAAATATGAATACATCCCTAAAATTTATAGAGGATAGCACAATTAAAATAGAACATTTGCAAGATTATATTCAAGACAATAGTGATTTTTTAGTAATAGGAGTTGTAGGAGCCCAAGGCGTTGGTAAATCAACTGTATTAAATTATATCTCCCAAAATAACATACCTAAGAATACTTCGCAAATATGCAATCCAAATAACTCTGAAAATCATAAAACTTTGCCTGTACAGTTAGAAAAACTGAGTACAAATTTAGAAAGTGAAGTATTTAAAGTTCAAACCTGTGAGCAGTTGGAAAATTGTACATCCGGTACTCAAGGGGTAGATATTTTTATCACCCCTGACAGGGTTGTATTACTAGACTGTCAGCCCTTTTTATCTTTGAGTTTACTTGATGATTTAATAGACGGTGATAATAAGAGGACAAATTTGATTAGTGAATTTATTCCATTGGAGAATAGTGGAGAGATACAGGCATTACAGTATACGGCATTCCTAATGTCCATATGTCACATACTCCTTGTTGTACAAGACTGGTTTTTCGATAGTAATGTTGTCAGGTAAGATATTTATTTACAAAAATATTTTTGAAAATAAAAGAGAATATTTTATTGTTGCTGTTTCAGATTTATCCAAACTGCAGAGATGTTAAAACCAACAGCCTCAAATCCAGAAGATGACTATTCCGAGCATTTTCCTCATTTATTATTGATACATAATAAGGCCAATATGACAGATTATACCCCAAGTCAGTTCAAGACTATGCAAAAGGTTCTTGGGCTTTTAGTATATTATGTTTATTATATTTGAAACTAATTCATTTTGTAAACATTTTAGGTCTATAAAAATGTTTTTCATAAAACTAAGCTTCAACTGCAGTCAAATATTGGAATGGGTTCTGGAAGACTAATGAATAGTTTGAACGCGGAAAATTGTGGCAGTCCAATTAATTTGTTCCTACTTCCCGATTTTACTGAAGAGAATGGTAAATATTCTAATATGAAGGGTACATCCGAAAAAGGCAGACAATCTTTTTCTCACTTACCCTTTTATAATTATTAATTTAATTTATAATTTATTAATTTGTCGTTACTAAACAGAGTAATAGTTCTTTCTATATCTAATTTTCATGGCTGGAATTGCCATCACTTATCAGCATGATGTTGAAGGATTCCATATCATTTGCAATAGAAAAGTAAGAATTTTTATCGATGCCAAGGATAGGTTATAGATGGAAAGAAAACCTCCCAAAACCTCAAACTAAACTAACCTCAAAAAGATTTATTTATTTGTATTTGTTGCCTGTTTCAGGAATCTACAGGGGTCACCCGCCTTTGCATGAGCTAATAAAGAGGCTGCGAGCGAATTTGTTCGGAGTAGCAAAACATCCTTTAACTCATGTTCAGTTAACTGAAAAAACGTGGCTAATATATTGTGCCAAAGTGTGGGACACTGTCAAAAAGAGTCCTTTTTTTGTTGAATATTCAAAACTGATGCCCTAATAGGTAATTACTGACACAATTATCTAATGTTTCTGTCTAGTACATTTTATTGGATATAAATTGATGTAAATTAATTACTACATTTTATTCAGTTAATAAGTATTAAATAAATAAATATAAATATAATCCTTAAATGCATTATATAAACTTATATAAAATACTTAAAATATTCTACAGGTAAGAAAAACGTTTTTGTAGGTCCCTCAAATATTTGAGTCCTTTGATTGAAGGTGGTGTGGGTGGAACAAAGCAAAGGTTCTTGTGCTTGTATATAGTATGCAACAAGTTGTGACTAAAGTATCGTTATAAAACTTGTTGCTCAGTGGTCAGACGAAATTTATTAACTCCTTCCATTAATGAAAAACTTTTGCTTCTCTAACCTCCCTTATTTGTATACATCTAAGATTTATAGTGCAAATCCAAATGATTAGAGTTAAACTGAGGGTTTTAGTTGAATAATAGCATAGCAATAGCTATAGCACACCAAGTTTTTGGTCTAATAATGTCCTGAAAATATGAGAAATAATTCGGAGCTGCTCTGTGATGGTTCGTTTAACTAAAGTCTATATTTGTCATCAATCGCCTAAAATTTCTTAAAAAATTTTTACGTGACGTCACCGTATAGGAATATCACTTCGCGTGCTAGTATGATTGGAAACATGAAAGTTTATATAGTATTTGTTGTAATGAATAAAAACCACTAAAAAAAGGCGACAGTTATTTACTATAATCTTTATACATATTTTTCTTTAATATATAAATCAATTTTATTTGCAACTTATTTAATTTTTCAATAAATCCATGGGTGTGAGCGATTTTGCAGGATTTTGTTTTAAATACGCAGAATCGTGGACCACCGTGTTTATTTATTTCAGCAATAGATATCGTATTTGTGCATTTATATCTTGGTTTTTGTTTCAGCTTGAAATTGACATGAAAAATTTTACTTTAAAAATGAAGGTCACGTCTGATCCACGCACATTCGATTTGCAAAACTACCATACTTGTAGAAGATTTGAGGAGTCTGCTATATCTACATATTCAACATGAAAAACATGAAACTACGCAATAAAAAGGCTGGATGGTGTGTTCAAATGGTTTTTATTTGAAGGGAATACTTATTTATTTATGTAAAAATTCGAACAAGAATTTTACAAATTAAAAGACGTAGAAGAATGTGCGTGAATCATGGAAATTATAACTAAATTCTAAAGTCTAAATAATCATATTGATATGATTTTTCAAAACCATAATTTAAAAATTAAAACACATTTAACAATTTTAGTAAATACGCCAATTATTTAGTATTGCAAATTTTCTGTATTAGTTGTAAAATTTTTGTTTACTAAAAAATGAAATTGAAATTAAAACATTCTTTATTAATGTAATGTAAATGATCTTCAAATATGTAATGATTTCTAGAGATATATTGTTTGGAGAAGAGGCTTTTTCCTAGCATGAAGCGGTTTAAACGAATGTTGGTAAACCGTCGCCAAACGCCAGTGTTCCGGATAATCCTCCCTTCTATTTTTCTGCAAAGAAAAAGGCGGAACTAAACTATGGATTCCATAGTTCAATGCTTTGTAAGGGGCTTTTTGTCTAGGTATTCTAATTCTGCCGCTAGGTCTACTTACATTTTTCTGAGGCACGCCTGCTTTAAACGCCATTTTGTATTCAGCTTTCTTAATTCTGTTCCCGTTTGTGCCATCGGCGTTTTTTAATTCACATGCTACGCATAATCGTTGATTTAGTTTTTTGCAAGAGTGCTGATTACATGGTTTAGCCAGTTTAAGCTCCTCTTTTACATTCAAATTTCTAATCTGCTCCGCACTTTTTATCCGTTTATTATATTTATTTTGAGTATTATTAGGTAGGGAAGTCTTGGGTCTGTCTGTAATAAAACGCTTTGCTGTGCTTATTGTAGCAACATAATCGAAAATTGGTTCACATTCTTCCTTGGTTAAATCATTCTTTTTCTCCCTATGAGAATGTACTAGTTGAAATACGGCAGGGGCTTGAGATCCATTTGATCCGTCTATATGCGTGGAAGGTTTTGGTTCATCATCCATATTTACAGGAGTTAAATCCCAGCATATAGCCAAGTCTATGGGAGACACTTTGGTCTGTCTTATAAATCTCCATTTCCTCTCGAAACTATCCATGCTTGACAATTCATCATTACATTTGACTTTGTTATGACCGCAGGTTGTGTTTGGTCGATAAACCTTTAACTTGGTACATCTGGTGGGCCCATATCCAGGATATCCCTTCCATCCCATGCCACAAGCAAAAGGCTTATCGTCAAGCACTAATCCGGGATCACATTCTTGCAGTTTTTGCATCTGCAATTTGCGGTACATTGCATTTGTAATAGTGTCTGGCAAAGGAAAGTGTTCTAAATTTTCTCGGTGCAATTTCTTCGCAAAGCTGAAGTTAGAAATGGCGTCTATAATTGGCGTAAGTAAATTCTGATTCAGCCGCTGTGAAGTAGGATTGCACTTAACCATTTCTTTATCAGTGTTAAGTATTTTGCTAGCGTTTTCATTCATCTTTTTTTCGGGTTTGGTTGAAATTCCAGAAAAGTCATCTCGAGGTAATGGGTAACCATTTAATGAAGACAGAGGTTTCACTTCGTTATTTATAAAACTTGTGTAAGTCCTATTATTGGTGAGGTCCCCTGGTTTATATGTAGTTGCAGTTTTATTTTTCTCCTGAAAAATTGACATAAAAAAATTATGTTTATGGGAATGTCTCTTAGATAAATATTAATTAATCAAATTTTTCTTACTTGATATTTTCCATAGGAAATGTTTTCTTTATTTTCTGTGCTGTAATCATTAACATGTGGTTGATCTAAAAGATAGGAATTCTGAACATTAATGTAAATATACTATCAATCAGACATTACCTCCTTGTTCATCATTATTTAGCAAATTATCGTGAAATTCATTAATGATGGGCAAGTGTGTTGTATTTGTTGGTGGATCGGTTCCCTTAAAAGTTTTCTTCTCTTTTTTTGTATACAATTTTGGAACTTGCCAATTTAACAAAGCTTTAGGTTTAAAAGCAGATTCATACTAAATGAAACAATAGGTATCAATTAATAATTAACACTTATTAATATTTAAAACCCAGTTGAAGTGCACATATTTCAAATAAAACACATAGTTACTATAAAACATTTAAACAGATTTGACATTAATAATATTTATTTAGATATTTTCCCTTGCCTCTTCTTAACATGTTTCTTAATTTTGGTTTTCCTTTTCTCAGCCTGCGCTTCTTTGACTCCTTTTTTCCTAAGCTTTTTTTCTTCCAAAGTTTCATGCTTGGGCCTGGATGAATCAACAAACTTGCTTCCCTCATGAGCATCTGAGTCTTCAGAATTAGTCTCTTCTAAGTCGTCCGAACTACCATTAATCTCATCAGTATGCAACTTTTCCAAAATTTCTGGTTGTTGGGCCGCCCCACTTAAATCACCCTTGAGTCCGACCAAAGTCTTATAAACAAGGTCTCTTGTTTGGCCTGATTTCACTTGATTAATATCCCTTTCAAAATCGATTACATCTATTAATCTTTGTGGAATATAGGCTTGCTTAAAGACCTCATCATCAGCCTGAAAATTTTATCAACCAAGAATAAACATTGCCTTAAAGAACGATTAGTTGTTTTACGGGATAATAACATTTCATTAACATTCATCAAAATTGGTTATTTCATTTTATTTCATTAAAATTTCATTAATAAAAGTTCTTGTATACTAGCAAAAGCATGATTACCTGTTCACCTGGTGTAACTTCCCTTTGAGTCACCTTTTCTGACAAAACTTTTAAACATTCCTCCATATTATTTTCATTGATAGTTGGATCAGTTATAAAATCAAATAATTCTTTGACAATCATTGTAGCCACTCCTTTCTTCTTGAAATATTCTGTGATGTTGGTACAATCTTTTCTTAAAAACTCTAAGGAATGTGGATGATCATGCTCTACACTCTGTGAGACATCTATGATATATATCTCCCCATTGTGGTACAACATGTTGAATTCAGAAAGATCTGCATGGACTAATTTACATTTATTGAAGAGTTTCCACATCATAACTACAATGTCTCTGTACAATTCTCGGTATTTTAACTGGCTAATCTCAACATCCTTTAATTTTGGAGACGGCCAGCCATCTTTACCCAAGAATTCCATTACTAAGACATGAGATCTTAGTAAAATTGGTTCAGGTACATTTAACCCATTCGAATGCATTCTGATCAAATTTCTAAGTTCTTTCTCAGCCCAGGTTCTCACCATTTTTCTAGGATTATGTCTGGAATAACCATGTCGAAACCTAAACTCTCCAGCAACATATTTATCTCTATCTTTAAACACCAATATTGAAGTTTTATATATCTTAATGGCATAGTCCATTCCAGAATTTGAAGAAGCGTGATACACATTGGCTTCCTTACCAGTAGAAATACAACCATTTATCTCGGAAATCACACTCCTATTCAGCAACTTAAACAGTATCATTCTTGTACGTGGATCCATAACCTGCTCTACAGTAGCTCGATCATGCTTATCCTTTACCCTTTTTCTTTCATTTTCAGTTCGTTTTTCATTTACCAACAAACTACTGATAGCGTGGCTCGGAAAGGAAGATTTGTAGCTTTCCACATTTATCCTATTACAAAATTTCTTAAACAGGTTTTCATTAGGCTGGTATTTATTGATTTTGTTAGATATATTCTGTGAATTGTCATGCCTGCTTTCTCTAAAGTTTCCAGATAAAACGTCGTCTTCGTCTGGGAATTCAGGACTAGAGTAGTCAGAAATCTCGTCACTATAAAGTTCCTGCTTAAAATCATTAATCTCACAATTTTTAATATTAACGGCCAGATCGTCCTCAGCGTCTACAAACAATTCCTCTTCGGAAAGTCTCACTTTTGCAAACATAATTCTAAAATATATTTAACAAAACACGCTAAAACGGAATATAGGTTATTTCACAGAACACGAAGGATTAGATAAACCACCACAGTCATTTGGGAAGAAGGAATTTTAACATAGTTCAATCACACCCAGTTCCGAATAGGTTTTCCGTAGTGTTTATTATGTTCTGCTAGTTTTATTAGCGATGAGAATTTACGAATATTTTCGTAATATGTCAATGATGTTTAACAATGATAAGCTACGTAGTTTATTCTGAAACAGTTTATTACGCATTACAGGCCCTTCTGTTTTTGACAAAATCTTTACTATAAAACAATTTGTGCCTGGGGTGTATGTCTACAGATCCAAGATTTTAATCACTTTAAATATTGTTTTTGGAAACCGTTTAAAAAGCAATCAATCTTGAAACAAACAGAAGAAATTTTCCCAATTACATTAACTACGATTTTTTATTTGGGGTTTAAAGAACTAAGGTAAACAGGCATTTTTTTTAGTGCACATTCAGCTGAGTTTTAATTATTACTAAAAAAAATATTTTTTACCTTTAATCTTATAACACAAATAATTCAGTTTTCTCTTAAGCTTACTTGCTTGTCGCTTTTTAACTTATTATAACGAAAGACGACTGTGTAATGATTTCGTGCAGAATATTGTTTTCTGAATAGCGTTTTTTATATCTATCGCATGAAACGGCAGCAACTGACGACATCGCCTGAAGGTTTCTAGTTCGCGAATAAAGTGATTTGCATGATAGATTTAGGCGACCCAGAAAAATAGTTATGTCAAACCGTTTCTTTGTAAAATATTCAAGACAGTTTTAATATTATTTACGTTATGTAAACTCAAATTAGACGACATTTACAAAAAATGTATAGTCATGTCCTTTTCGATAATTAGAAACAAAAATTCGTTTAGTTTTTGTAGATAGTACGTACATATTGTATATAGACGTCAATAACAAAGAACAGTTTCCACTTTGTTTTCCATTGGTTATTAACATATAGCTATTAGATAACACGGGACTGTAAATATCGTAAATCTTAGGCTGCAGTAACAAGTCTCTCTATAGTCTTAATTTAGCGATCTCGTACCGTAAAACTATGACAAGCATTTTCAGATTTTTCATTCGAGCGATAAAGTCATGACATCAGCGAGAGTTTGCTTTGCGGCGTCTTAGCGGATTTTTTAGACTACTCCAGAAATCCTCCCGATTTCCCCCTGACGTGTATCCATTTTTTCGACCTTACAATCACCATACTAGCTAACAACCGTATGTTCCCATATAGCTATTAGATAAGAAGGCAAAGATACTTTCTAACTCGCATTTTGAGCACTTAACTCGGTTTTCCTGAACATTTAACAGGATCTATAAAAATGATAAATCGGCCATGTTGATTGTCGAACGCGGTAAGGTCTTATTGGTTGAATGCGTGATTTGAAATGACAGGTTTTATTATTTGAAAACAAAATTTAAATTAACCTTGCATGTGTATATTAGAGTGTCTACATATCTAGTAGCTATATGTATTAGCCAGTGAATTGAATCTAACATGGAACAGGTACGGTAATGCAGCCATTATCGATTATCGTCAGATAGTAACGACGATTCTTTGTCACACAAGTTAATATAAATATCATACTTCAAAATATTAAATTCTAGTGTTGCAAATGCTGGGAGTATATGCGGCAAAAAAATTTTTTGAGTAAACAAGCAATTTTACCATATATTAGCGAAATATTACCTGATCCGAATTTGTTTTATAAACAATTAAACGTTTTATAAATGAGAAATAACTCATTGAGTTATTATTTATTTGTAATTAAAATACTTCCAGTAAGTATTAACTAAAATTGTGAATTTGATTCCATCATTTGTATGAAATGTTAATAATAAAAACACAGCCTTTTGGTATTCCTTTTTATTTTTGCTTCTTTTTCAAGGAATAAAAAATGTTTGTTAGATGTAATATTTAAGTAAATGCGTGTGTATTTTAAGTCTTAAAAAACTACATATCAATATATATTTTTTAGAATGCTAGATTTTATTTTTTACATATTTAAAGAAACTGTTGTTGGATCATCGAATAATTTAATAATAATAAGAGTAATTAAACAATGAGTTCGGGTGTCAGCTCATTTATATAGTGAGCAAAAAAAAAAACGACAATCCACATTACTAGCCGTCTTTTTCTTTTCTAAAATTTGCCTCACTTTTCTATCACTCGAATCTCAGTTTAGATCGAATTCACTGTTATTAACTAATATATTCCCATATAAGTTGCCCATACCTACCTCTATATTGAAATTATTTTGTTCACCATGCCATTACTGAATACCGACTCAAGTTTCAAAATGTTTTGGTGGTGTAGATATTTTTCATTAGTGTACTCATTTAACTGTGGAATTGGAAAGTTCTAAAATGACCTACTTACATATGTTTTCCTGGTTTAAGCTAGCCTACATTTCATGAAAGATTTGCGGAATTTCTATTTTAGTGGGTACTTCTATCGAAGAAACTGGACTTTTCATCTGTCTGCTTCGTTACATACAAGTTCAGGAATCTACACGTGTATCGCTTTGCTTTCATTGCGTTTATATAGAAAATCATTAGCAAAACAACAGTTTCTCATAATTATTTTGAATAAGTAAAATTACCTGACCTGCTGTATAATTCTTAGACATATTTCTCTCGGTCTTTCTTTCAACGCTATGCTGTATATAGCGTTACGGAATTTGCATTTATTCGTGATCGATTGTGAATTGTTGCATACTGATACTGAATCTTAGGATACCCTGGTAACGCCGTTTGATTTCCTAGACAACCAGCGAAAATTTTTTCGATATTTCTTACAGGACGAATTATCGACTCCGATTCCGAATCTACTTCCTGCATCTGATAACAACAAATAGATTTTGTGTTTAAGACCTATAGAACCTTTAAAATCTTTGATGTTTGTAAGAAAGTCCAAGTTTCTAATTTAATTAATTGCTTTTTTGCAGGAATTTTTCGATTAAGAATTTCTAGGCGGTTATATAATTCAACTAGTCTTCAATTGTTTTATCTAAAGAACATAATCAATTTTCGTAAATATTCTGGCCTTTAAAATCCAAAATAGTATGCTGAACTTTATTTTGATTGTTTAAAAAATATAAATAGCGGTAACATTGTCTATTCAAAGTTATTTAATAGAAATAATTTTTTAATATAGAACTACGAAATAAAAACTAAAAATGAGATTCTACTTTTCATTCCGAGATGACCAAATTGATTAATTTCTTGCTTTTGTTGTTAAACCTTTATTCTGCGGTAACGGTCTATTAGAGTACCTGGTCATAGAGCCAACGGGGTTTTGGAGGATTAAACACTACCACCGTAAGCAGTAGCTAGCTCAATTGTGTTTCTTTGATTATTAATAAATAAATAAATATAATTTATTTTTGTTGGAATTTTGTTAGAATTTTTATTATAGTCAAGAAGTTGAACTATACAACAAATTGATTGTTAATTTACAACTGATTGCGATTTATTAGTATATATATATTTTGATCAATTTAATAGTTGATACATCATTTATCTCGACAAGGATTTTGAATATTCACATTTAGTTCAGGACAGTCAGTATTATATCTATACCAAAAATTTATTAAAAGTTCCCCGTTATTACTAACATTTAAAACATCCATTTAATTCGCAGCTGGCGGTACGGTCGGTATGCATTCTTTGTGAGAACAGTCTAGCCTTCTGAGCGCGTCGATCAGTTTTCGCAATTTCTCGAAACGTTGTGATTTGGCATCTTCTATGACCGACAGTTCTCTTCTACCGAAACGCATAAAGTTGGAACTTCTGCCAAATCGAAGAAAATTCTCCCTCCTCTTTAGGTGTTCCGGAATTGCTTGACGTTTGGAACGACCAAACCTTAAAAAAGCAGTTTTGTTTCTTGCCGTCCGTTGTTGAGGTTGCAAACCGAATCTAGAACAAAACTAACTTTAAAATTTGCATGACGATAAAGTTCAATCTGCAATATGAGTAGAGAATGTGGAATTCTTTTTGATCAATAAAGTTAGTTAAAAAAATGACAATAACACAATTGCGAATCAGACAAATTTAAACATAAGCAAAAATATTGTTCTCACTCTATTTAGTGACGTGATTTATACCCTCATTAGGTGTCCAAAAGAAATAGAAAATGAATGGTAATCAACAATTAGATTCCGATCTAAAGATAAAAAGATTTCAATAGTTTCCTAGTGTTTCGAAGTGGATCCAATATTTTTTCTCATTTTTATTACTTCACGAATAGAAAATTTTAATCTTCGATTAACTCAATTTGACACCGAACATATTTCGGAGACTCTGTATATCTAAATGTTGAGACCCAAGGCACACAAGTTAGATATATACCGCAAAATTTAAACTGTGTTGCCATCTGTAGATGAGTGAGAAAACTAAATCTGAAATCTTTTGTTACCCAGTGAGGAATCTATACTTCAATTTTTGATTTCTCCAAAGTACTAAGAGTGATTATTGATCTTCATTTCTGCTAAATATTTCTATTGAATACTAACCAAAACTAACCTTAGTATTCTGTAAGGTGAAGAATACTCTAAGAGCTGCTTTCCCCAAGTTATTCTAAGAGAATCTAATCAAAGGCATTGGGGAAGTCCCTACGTATGGAATGTAGTACCACTCTCCAAGATTTTGAACAAAGAATGGGTGTATATTTAAACCCTTCTGCATGCACAAATTGTGATTTTTTCTCTCAGAAGAATGGTAGGCTATAGAGGCTAATGCAAATTGAACAACATTGAAGTTTGTTCAGTGGGTGACGTTGTTCTATGGCGTTAAATTATTTGATTCCATCTGGGCTACTCCATAATGTCGGGACTATCCAAAAGTACGAAGGGCAATGGTAACGATTCGAAAAAATAAAAAAATTGAAGTACACTGAAAAATTGAGTTTCTGTGGTTAGTTACAAATTACTCAGCTTTTGCCATATCCATGTTTTCTAACTGGAGCAAAAACTTTGCCGTTTATTACTTCTACGTACTTCAACGAAGCAATATCGATTTTTTGCTTTTCGCGTTCGTTTTGCTGTCAAAATTATATATAAATGACTGATCGGATTTACCGTAACAGATCCTGACGACTCCGACCAAATCTAATGAATTGGTCGTTTTTCTCAATACCACCACCTCTAGTTGGTCGAAAAATATCGTCTTCATGTGAGGGCTCGTTGTTATCGTCGTATTTCATATGGTTACGACCAAATCGTAAAAATTTGTCGTTCCTGGTCGATCTAGGGAAATCACTATAAACAATATCGTCGGAGTCGAGAAAATCTGCGCTTTCATAGGAATCATCTTGAGATCCTATAGCAGACTGGATCAGTAGAACTAGAGATAGACAGGCTAGAAGTTTCATCATGAACCTAAAATAACAAACATCGGTCTATGCAGCGAGAGTTATATTGAGATTTGGTTTACGCTTATATGAACCCCGAATAGAAAATATAATAATCTACTATTAGGGCTACATCAATATATAAAGTATTGTCTTTTTTTAATTTAAAAATGGCACCCATCGAATTGCTATATCAAAATTTTTCGGAAATGCCACTACAACTTCTTTTAATGTAATTTGCTCATGTATCATTTTTTATAGTTCAGTTTTATATATATTATTATTTATAAATATACAATACAATGGACATATACAATGGACTGAACAGGCCAATATCAAAATAAAAGAACGCCACTGTTCCCGGCTTCTATGTTTGCGTTTCGTTTTATCTTCATTTATCGTCGTATGAGTGTGACCTGCTACTCAATATAAGAAAGAAAAATCGACCCGTAATGCTCTTTCATGCTTGTTTATTTACAGCCATTTTGACTTTATGAAATAAAATGCCGTGCACTGAAATGTATATTATATTCATTTCGCCTGCCATGCGAATAACGCAAAAATATCGCCGCTTTTATTAGTAGACTTCCTTCTTCCGCGAGGGATTCATACAAATTTGCAAAAAACCCTGTATATTCGACAACTTTTCGAACTGTCTCGCTGTCGCTAACATTTAGCTTTCTATATAAAATTATTTAATACAATGTTAAATCTATCTCTATTGTAATTTTTATCTATGCAAATCATTAAGGACTTAATATAATCATTTTTAACATTATATTCGTTTGAAGTTTAAAGCATATTTCTCAGAAATGTAGATATTTACATATACATTTTTATACAGTTTCACTAATATGAGAAATTTGGGGTACTTAAATTAACTTAATATTGCACCCAGATAACATACAATCGGTAGTTACAAGAATCTTAGCTAAATTAATTTATAAATTTTTGAATTATATTATATTATAAAAAAAAAACAATAAAAGAAAGTAAAGTTTCTTAATGCGAGAGAGAAATAAAATGTAAAAGAAGTAAGAATAATATGAAAATTGATAAATTGCTAATAAATATTTTTATTTTAAAAAAATCTACTATTCACATTAAAAATTCATTTGTAAATTTTAGAAGTAGTCGGATGAACTATACTCGTTGGAGTTCAGAGAAATAATAAGGGACTCTGAAGTGTTTTCTAGTATGTTATCAGTTACGCATATTCTTTCTTCTATTTCAATCATTCCATGAAAGCTTGATTCCCGCTTTTTAAATTTTTAACCTACCATGTTTTTCAAACCGGACATCCTTCATTTACCCTAGTTTCATCCAGATATTAGATATTCCTTTTTTCTCTCCGAAACTGTCTAGTTTCCCTATTAAAACTCCTGTTTGCCTATTAAAAGTAATTTTCTGTATTGAGTAACAAAATTTCATTTCCTTCAGAGTTTTCCATTCATTTTAGAAAGCGCAGTTTTACTTATCCGTTTCTCTGCAAAAAATTCAGCAATTTTCATGAACAAATTTTACCAACAACTGGCGGAATATAACTATAATTCTAATTTTGACAAAACCACGCCTATGGAATGCGGCTAACACCGCTAACTTGATATGATAATGATAACTCTCTGGCAGTAAGAAACAAAGCATAGCATACACTTTTTGGCAATGGTTATATAGTTAGAGTGATTTCTTATGGCAAGTGGTCGACAATTATACAGCTTTAGACCCAAGCTCTTAGCAAATTTATGATTACCGTGCTTTCTATAGACGGGAGCAAACAAAGTTCTGGTTTAATACTTGCCTAGTTATGTGCGCTGAACCTTTATTTTTAAATTTTTGTAGTAATGTAAAATACGACACATAGTTATACAAATATAGCATCCAATATTTACCATATTTTCATTTTTTCAACTTTTACCTCACTTTACTTTATATTTTTAAACGAAATTTAGAGGTTCCAGTGGGTTCATAAAATGCGCCTTCTTGCTTTAATAACGAAGCTTTTGACATGATTGAACCATTTTAAAACTTCTCCAATTATAAAGTTTGAGCCCTGGTAATTGCAAATAATAGTTCTAGTCTGTCAACGTCAGTAAGACAGAATGCAACACTTAAATTTGAGAGTCTATTCATTAAAGGCTAGCCTACTGCTTCAGATTTTACTTCCTGTCAGGTATCAACACAAAAAGTCAAAACTGTAGGCCTTGTATTTCATTTTCTAGTGAATGTATTAATGTATATAATAAATAGCAATGGGCCTAGGACACTGCTTTTGGGGATACCCAAATGAATCCCTCAAAATATTCCTCATTCGAACCTTTGCGATCTATACTCCAAAAGCAACTACTCCAACTGCAAAAGATATCCCCCACACAGCGCCCGGAACAAACGCCCTCGTAAGATCTAAAAAGATCCTCAGCGAATTTTTTGTTTCTGGCCAGTTCAGTCTTATTTGGAGTCAACAAGTTTAAAATAGCGTAGTTTGTACTAAAGCCAAAATACTAGATAAAAGCTTTGAATAAGAGACTGGACGCAAGTTTGACCTTTGAATGTAGGATTATAACTTGACCTAGAAAAAATATTATATTATAACGTTTTTAAAATGCAATTATTGTTAATATACATATAGGAAGTTTGTAGCTGCATAATCATTATAGCACAGAAACTTGTTCAAGCACTCAAACGCTGAAGCCTTAAGTAAACACCAGGCGAACTACGCAAATGTGATTGGAATGTGACTTCTCAAATGGTGGAAGACCCCCAGGCCCAAATGTTATTTCACGTAAATTTAATTTTACTCGATACCCCTAACAAACTGTTTTTAATTCTTCTCCAAATTTGGGTGCTTACATATTCTGTTTACTGGGAAACCAAAACCCCTCTAATCATATTACGCTGCCTTAGTTTAGATGAATCATTTATTCCACGTAGCGACTAGTTTGGTTTACCATCCGTAGAGATTTGGTGTTCCGACAAATAAAACAAATAATATTCGGGTTTAAAACGCCCGAAAATATTAAGAAAAATTATTATTGTTGTTGTTCTAAATATCCACCCACATGAAAGATTCAACGTACAAAGGGCGATAAAATAATTAATCTGTGTCAGAATAACTCACGTCAGCTAAAAAGATTTTCTCGGGTCCGTGACTTGCCTCGAAAAGGTCCACCGATTGGCCCAAAGCCCTAAATGCGTGTCCCATTGGCAGCACTTGCTTAGTTTTTATTTTTATGTACCTAACTGGTGCGTTACCTCGCGTTGACCGCCATATTTTACTACGTTACTTAGAGATATGCCAAGCGGATCTTGCCCACGAATTTATTATACCCACAATTTTATTGTTCCACAAGCCAGATACTTTTTTTTGCCATCACGTGAAAGAATTGCGGAAATATATAAATCTCGACGCATATAGGAATCTGGCATTGACAGTTTTTAAGCACCGCTTTGCCCGTTTTCCAATATTTGTCCGCTAATTCTAGCGTTATTAATTGTTTCACATCGATTTTTATTAAAAATATAGTTGGTGTCTCAAGTGACACATAAATAAACTTTTGCGAATGTGTTCACGAAAATTTCGAATATAATATGCGATATGAAACGAGCTTTCGTCGGTTCTTAGTTGTATATCGAGTCTGCTTGAGTACATTTCATTTTACTTTCCCAAGATCAATGTTGTAGTAATTGAGGAGGGTAAGCTATTAATATTTCGTCATCATATGAACTTGTGTTAGACCAGGAAATTCGCAACTTTTTTTTTTGTTTTGATCTAATCGAATATCATATCTATTATGTTTAACTATGGCAAAGAACAGTTCGTTGGAACGAAATAACTGTCTACGTCTAACGCTATGACCCAAAATCAATAAAATAACAATACGTACGGGTGTTATTAACAATTTAATTCATTTCAGCTTTGAAACCAAGCAATATAGTTTTACGTTCAATTAGTTTTTAAGCAAACCCTTCATTAAAAAAACATTTTATTTAATTTGAAAATTATGCGTAACTGACAAACTGAAATGCCTTTTTTCGAACGAAGTAACAATTATTGAAGGCGTTCAGAAGTAGAGGTTGAACCAGTCTCGTAAAGTGCGAGAGAAAATGATATTTTGACAGAACTCAAATTATTTAAAAATTCCAAGGTTAAGTTATCGTAAATCTTATTAAAACGGACGCGGCAACGTTTTTTATTTCGGCTATAACGTAAAGCGTGGAATACAGTATATATGTAATGTGAGAGTTTAACAAATGCATGACAATCAGACACAGATAAACGTTTGCCTCGGATGCTGATGAATTGTGTCCCCCATCAATCGTTTTGAGTGTATTGCTACTAGATAAATAAGTAAAATTCACGCGCCTTATACGTATTATACGCATGCTGCACTTTGCTCCATTTTCTTTCAAAACAATTATCTCCATACATCTAACCAGGAAAAAATGCGACATCCAAACTGAAAACGGTCGAATCGACGAATTGTCAGCGGCCATATTGTTTGTGGAACGCCGCAAGGCCCTATTGGTTGAAAGCGAGTTTTGAAATGACTTGCGCATGCGCATATTGCAGTGCCACTTTTTGTATGTTAGCTTTAAATGTGCTATACGGTTCGTGGGACGACACTATAAACTTAAAACTTTTTTAATAACGAGTACCGTTTATTTAACAGACTTCGTCGCGGCGGCGGGCGGCGAGTGTAAAAGTTTCACACCTGGAAAGAAAAAGAAACAGTCGAACAACAGTTTCAGCGTACGAAGCTAAACGTAATCCCACGTGTGCAATACAAACGGAAATTATACACCTCCGACTTTCTAAATTCACTGTCTCCGGCAGGGCGGCGAGTTTTAAATTATTCTCATATTTAAACTTCCAGCCTTATCCTTTTGCGGTGTAATTAACAACATGTTATTCCGGAGGAACCGGTAAATCATTTACACAGAAAGAGGCCAATTATTACTCAAAATATCTGGTGTGGCGGTAGTCCTTTCATTTATCAGGATAATGTAATCCAGACAAGATTACGACACGCGGTCTGGTTAACCAGTTTTGGGCTTTAAAGCCTTTAAAGTGATTTAAGCGGTTCAAACTTGGCGTCAAAAATTATTGTATGTATAATATTACGTGAATAATTATACTTTCTTTTGTAAATTATTGCCCAAAAATCCTTTACGAAAATTTTTTTGCGAAAAGCTAATAATCACCTCATCAACAACTTTTAAACAAAAGCTTAATTACATTTTTCACAACAGAAGCTGAACGTGTACTTAAAATATTTATTGTTTTGATTTTTTCTTTGTGGTTTTTACGTATTTCTGCATGATAGCTTTTTGTGTTGTGTTTTTTGCTTCCCTATTCTATTTTCTTCCTTCGTTTTGTATGTTTTCTTTTTTTTTCATACCTACTATATTGATTCGATATTAATTCATTTGAGTAAATATATTTACAGAACTTAATATTTTGGCTAGTTGATAGCATTTGCTTTAGGGGAATGAATAACGGTAACGATGTTGGATGTAGCCCCAACTAATAACACTCTGTTTAATATATTTTGTTTAACCAGATAGAGGCTATATTATCATTATTATTATTATCGTAGTCCCACCTCACTACCGATGCCAAGTGATCCCAATTCGATGATTTCGCTTTCGCTTTGTTTTGGTGTACGTAATGTGTCAACATTTTTATAAACATCTTATGTAAAAGTGTTAGAGTGCTATGTAGTGTTATGTAATGTTATGAAATTTTAAACTCACATATCTCGGAAACTAGGACAAAAATTACAAAATTACAAGTGAGAACAAATTACAAGTTAGAACAAGTTATCGGTAAAACTGTACAGGGCCGTTTAAGAGGGCCTATGCCTTATCTCGAAAGTTATGGGGGTTACAAAAACATTTAAATACAAAAGTTTTCCTAATCGTTAATTTTTGAATAGAACACTCTACATTTTATTGCATTTTTGGATAGTCTTTTCTCAATTTTCTTAAATGAGACACCCTGTATATTATTGGATTTTCGAATAGCCACTTTAATAGCCACTTACCAGTTTGGCTTAATTGGCAGATAAAATTATAAACTGGGTATAAGATTTAAATTATTAAGATATGAAACAGGGAATTAACTCCTTAACAACTTGTTCAAAACCGTTTTAGAGCATTGTTAGGAAGTCATATTAAAAACAGAATATTAAGCTTTGCACAATATTTCGCAAATTACTTATTTTTACGTTTAAATGACTACTTGAAATGATTACAAAAAATTATTGCTAACTACTTATGTATATTACTTACAAGTAAAATTAATGAAATTAGTTTTTCAATATGTCCACCGTCTTGAAGAATGCAAGTAGTATAGGTTATTTCTAAATGGGATATAGCATTTGAGACGTAATTATTTCATTCAGATAGTGTATTGCCGTGCGAACTCGTTGCTGCACTTTCAAAACTGTTGACGGTTTATCTTTGCAAACCATACCTTTCAATATGCCCCACAAACAAAAGTCCTTCGGAGTCAAGTCTGGATTCCTCGCTGCCACTTCGATGGTAAGGAGCGCCATCTTGCTGCCAAATTAAATTTGGATGCCCTCTTTGGTTAATATTATTATGTATAAGTATAAAAATTTGGTTCCTTAATAAGTTTGTTGATAAAATATGGGTCCTAAAATTCTAGATCTCCAGATTGCGCACCATACTTTCACTGCTTGTTTACTTCAACTTAACACATTTTTTATTTTCTGAACTCCAATAATGCGTATTTTTTCGATTAAGTAACACCGCAGACGTTGTAAATATTGATTTAACGGTCCAAATTATATTTTGAAATATGTTATCGAATGATCATTATATTGCAAAATTCGAGTCTTAAGTTAAAATCTGTTTCTTGTAGTTTTGGTACTGGTGTGTACTGATAACTGATATTTTATAAACATATTCGAAGTGTGGTTCGTCTTACGTCTACATCTGAAGCGGCAAGGCGGGTGGAGGTCTGTAAAGTATTTTCAAAATGCAGAAGAATATCTAGCTGCATATTTTCATCCAATTTTTTCACTAAAACACTGCCATTTGTTCGAAACTGCTGCCAAAATATACGGCAAATATTTTTGTTCTTGGCAATCGCCTGTGGGGAAATTTGGCTCTATATCGTCTGAGACCAAGAGCCGGACTTTTGTTATTGGTGATGTAACATTTTAATAGGTCCACTTTTTCTCCTTCATATACAATATACAAAATAGACTCAACAAAAAGGCAACTTAATTAAATAAACAGAAATTGCGAAGTCCGAAAAAATACGCTTAAAATATTATAATACACTGATACCAGTCAAAAAATCAGTAATATTACCACAACAGAGATCTACTATTGTTTTCAAGGCTACTGCGATGATTATGTCAAAAAGGTCAAAACTAATAATTTCAATTTTGTGTTTTTGTCTTTCAACAGTCAGGTTTCTATATATTTTTTAAAGACATTAAGGATATGAATATATTTTAAAAGTTTTTTTTCCCTTAAAGGACCTTATTTACAAGATTCTTAAATTATGAATGTAAAAGGATTTATGTAATAATAGAAAATAATTGCCAATTAAGCCAAAACGGTAAGTCGGAGAACCGTACTATGTTATATAATTTCTATTAAAGTGGCTATTCGAAAAACACATAATATACTGCATGTCTCATTTAAGAAAATTGAGAAAAGCATGATTTGCAAAACGTGGAAACACCGCCTATTCTAAGAAAAGCATTATTTTCGTAAAAAGTTTAAAAAGTCAATAAGCAACCCAACATTTAAACATAACCCAAATTCTGAAGATGACCGCTAATAAGTTTGAAACGATGCATCACAGACCCATACTCAAATATATAGTTGAATTTGTCTTTGAAGGGACTATTCAAAAATGCAATAAAATCTAGGGTGTTCTATTTAAAAACAAAACGTAACTTTTTTTGCCACCTTGTATATAAAAAAGTGACGAAAATTAAGGTCATTTTAATAGAAACAAATTCTGTATTTTTTTTATTTTTTTTTTTGTAACCCCGTAGGTATCGAGATAAATGTTAAACTGGCCACCCTGTATATAAAACCTGTCAAAATTTGGCAGTCCGATAACTCGCGAAAAAGGTGTAATATATGGCTTTAACAGTGGATATAGGAACATGCTTGACTTTGATTGTTAAATAGAAAAGATAACGTTTTCGTAACATTGCGTTAGTTAATAATTGTACTTGTTGGTTATAACCTAAACACAAACACAACAACCCAAATAAGAACAAACTTTACCTTAACGCAGCATCTCCGAACTACAACTGGTATTCGCCA